AAGTCATACAAGTAGTTTGTGGTAATTAAGTAGGTTTAAAATGTCCTCAGATGTGGTATTTTTACTGCTAATTTGCTAACCAAACCCTTTCTTTGTAGATTGGATGAAGGAAATTTTTAGCTCAGATTAAGACAATTGATAAAAATTAGAAATTAGAAGAGTTGTAAATTAACAAGATATATTACATTATGCAAAAGAGAGGTTTCTCTGAAAATAGGATGTTGAACTTGGCAAGTCAGAAGTCCCGGATGACTTTAGGAGAAAGGGAAATGAGCCTACAGTGGACCGAATGGGACTTAAGGGGGAGGACACCCGGGAAGTAAGAGTGAAGTTTTGACACGGAGGAGGCTGAAAATGGAGGCCAGTGTTGGCCGTTGTTTTCTCTGGAGAGGTGAAGCTACACAGACAATTTAAAGTTGATGGAAATTGTAAATTTGGAACAGTCATTCATTGTGGAGAACACAGAATAACGCTGACCGGAGAAATTTAAGTACTGCCAGTTTAGGTCGAAAACCATAAAACCACAACAATAAGAAAGAACCAATGATAGGACATCAAAAACAGAAAATAAAATCACGTTAGCACAGCTGGGACCATTTTGGCAAACGTCTGACTCAAATCTTGTTCTGATCTGTCCCATTTTAGCGATCTTCCACGTGCGCCTGTGGCTTCCCTCCACTTCAGCACGTTAGGTGAGGTGGGCAGCAGACCCGGGTCTTGTCTTTTAAGAACTAGGTTGTTATGTGCACATTAAACTTGGTAGCCACAGCACTTTTTCAACAAGGCAATTCATTGTGCAAACGCTAAACTTTAAATTAGTTGGTAATATTAATTTTTCACTTGTAGACCATCATAAGGTTTGGGGGAGAAAGGATGGAATAAAATTAGGGAATGATGGACATAGAATTAACCAGGCCACGTGTTTTGTGTCGAACTAAACAATTATTCATCTTAATTCAATCTTGGTCAAAGAGCCACTGTTTTCTTTCCATAATTTAACCACCCATTTAAAATAAGACCTTGTTGGAACTTCGCCAGTGGTCCAGCCGTTAAGACTCCGTGCTCCCAGTGCAGGGGGCCCGGATTTGATCCCTGGTCAGGGAACTAGATCCCACATGCATGCTGCAACTAAGACCCAGCGCAGCCATATAGATAAGTATTTTAAATAAGACCTTGTTGGGGACTTCCCTGGTGGTGCAGTGGTTAAGAATCCACCTGCCAATGCAGGGGACATGGGTTCGAGCCCTGGTCCGGAAGATCCCACATGTCACAGAGCAACTAAGCCCGTGCACCACAACTACTGAGTTCATGCGCTTAGAGCCTGTGCTCCACAACAAGAGAAGTCACCGCAGTGAGAAGCCTGCGCACCGCAATGAAGAGAAGCCTTCGCTCACCACAACTAGAGAAAGCTGGCGTGCAGCAACAAAGACCCAATGCAGCCAAAAATAAATAAATAAATAAATAAAAAGACCTTGTTGATTCAAAATCTACTAATTAAGAAAGGTTATGTTAGGTGGTAACAGTATAAATAATGTTAAAGAATGAATATTAAGCTACTTGTGAAAATAAAATATTTTAACACCTCTTCAAGGAGTTAATAGGTCTTTATAGCATGCAAAACTAATGCTAATGGAAAATAATCAAAAGTCCTGTATTCAGCTAGAGATAATAACAATACATCTTGTCAGTTTCATCTACTCCAATGTGTTTCACATTAAATATATTGGATTCAATAGTGCAGAAATTCTCAACCATGGCAGCTTCTTGGTATCACCTGTATAGCTTTTAAAACGCTATTCAGCAGAGATTCTAATTTAATTGATTGGAGTGGGGCTCACACATTCCTTAGTTTTAAAATCTCCACAGACAATTTTAATGGGTAACTAGGTATGAGAACCACTATGTTAGCACATTGTGAAAGCAAATGACTTGGTCTATAAGCAGCATTTTAAAAATGAAATACAGTATGTATGTAGTAAGGTAATCTTAATTTGTGAAACTTTCACATTGGTTATGTTTGTGTCAGTGTGTGGACATGAATATTTACTTGGTTGCTATGCAAAATATATTTTTGACCCTGGATTATGCTAATCCAGTCGTTGGAACTGGTCTTCTTACTCACAAACTGAGTTTATGTGAAATTATTTTTCTATTCATAAGGACCTTCCTGGGAAATTAAATTGGCTTGCAGTATGTAGAAGGTAAGAACACAGATACTGGGGCTAAACTATCTGAGTTTGAGTCGCTGATCTGCCACTAACTGGCCTCAGTGACTAGGCAAATTCCTCGATCTCTTTGTGTTTCAGTTTCTTCAGCTGTAAAGTAGAGAAAATAACAGTTGCTACCTGATAGAAGTGTTATTAGGATTAAATGAGTTAATGTTTGTGTAGCATTACAGCAGTACACTATAGTAAGGAATATGTAAATATAAATACATTTTAAGTAAATAAGATTAAAAGAGACTGCAAAACAATCTTTATTTCTTTAATAAAGACAGCAAAAATGTCTTTATTCTAGATGACAACATGTTTCACAATCAAAAGAACACAGCCAAAGCATGGGATTTATAACCAATAATTCACTGGAGAAGGAGTGCTAAAATCAAACCTAATTTCATATTCAACCGATGGGAAGAATAAATCCTAGAAATATTGACTGAATATGTTCTTAGTTGGTACCTATTTACAAAAACCTTTAAATTTGCTTTATCTTTTATTTTAGCACATTGAATGTTTTCATATTTAATAATGAAATGATTTCTGTCTTTATTTCAATCAAAATGTGATAGGATACGCTGCCTGTTGAATGTCGTGTGAACATATTGTGATCTTGTACTGCACCGGGTCTCCTAACTGAACGAAGCGTCCCTCAAAGATACTTTGTTCAGAGCTTTTGAGGTTGCAAGTGAAGCCCAGAAGTAGGAGCAGTGAGTAAAATTTCAGTTCCTGTAGTCACTTGGGTAGATTTCAGTTTTGGATTTGGGAAATTATAGGCTCCATGATAAATATTTCAGGCTGCCGACTACAATGAAAAGTAATTAAAGCAGCTATGACAACAGGTGCTGTATGGGGGAAATGGTGCCTTTTATCATGAGGTTATGGGTGCATGTGCTAAACGTGCTCATCATTTTCTCTTTTCTATTATTCACCGAATACCCCGGGGAGATTATTCTATTGCCAGCATTTATAGGATATAATGAAACCACATTAAATATGTATCTGATTGCTACCAACTGTGTAGAAAGCTTATGCTAACTATGGTTACGTACGGCGAGTTAGGCTCAGACCAGTGAAGTTCAACTTCACCGGGACTTCTTTGTGCTTGACCCATGGGCCTTCACTGTTTCATTGACCTTTAGTTCAAGCATCAGATACCTTTTTATTTGTTTGCTTGTTAAATGAAAAGTTTAAGAGGGTTGTAATAAGATATATACTGCTTTAAGACTATGTGTTGCCATATAGGGAACTCCTTAACATATGGCATATGAACAGCTACAATGGAAAATGATTTTAATCTTATCAGCTTTAATTATATATTTCTTTGGAATATTGAGCACTGTATTTCACAACTCATCTGATTTTAACTTTGTCCAACTCGTAGGCTTCTCCTTAAAAACAAAAAGGAAAGGTGTTTTAAATAATATAGTGGTTCAATTTTAGTTAATAAGGAATTATGTCCATATTAAATGTCTAAAATGAAGCCATGAGTAAGAGAATGTTTTGTAAAATAAAATGTTCAACAAATGAGTTATGATAATGCTTCTTTTATTTTTTATTATTTATTTTATTTATTTCTTTGGTTGTGCTGGGTCTTAGTTGCGGCAGGCAGGCTCCTTAGTTGTGGCGTGCAAACTCTTAATTGCGGCATGCGTGTGGGATCTAGTTCCCTGAGCAGGGATCGAACCTGGGCCCCCTGCTCTGGAAGCGCAGAGTCTTAACCACTGCGCCACCAGGGAAGTCCCAATAATGCTTCTTTAAAACTTTCTTTTCTTAAAGGTTAACGAAAAGTTTTTAATCTTTTACTTTCTACTTGTATAGAAGATGATTATAATTGAATGGTAATCAAACTGCTGCCTTAAATGTAGAAGTAACTTTTATGTATATATTATCCCTTTTTATTATAACATTTCCTTTCTACAAGGAGACACATTCTTGCAAGGTTATATGGATTTAGGAGTCATTTCTGTGTATATATAGATCAGTACTTGTTCGTAGATGGCAACTTTATGGTCTACAGTTAGGTTTACTGACCTCAGAAGAAAAAGAATCAAATCTAATGAGGCATAGTAATATTCAATTATTTAACTACAAGTCTAATGCAATAAATTTAAAGGTTAAATGTGTTGAATTTGCATACACTATTGACATCCTTATAATGTTTCAAATAAATTTGCTGTCAAAGTACCTGAGAGCTTTGGAAATATCATATTGAATTTCATGAGAAATTATTTCTTCTGTGCATTGTAGCTTTATGAATATAGGAAAATAAGTATCTCTAAAACTTTATGAAAAAGAGAATTTGAATATATTCTGAGTTTTAAATAATTTATTTAAACAAATGTTTACGGTACCTACTCCATGCCTGGCACAACCAGGCTGAATAAGTCACTATTATAGATCCAAACGCTTAGAAACGTGCTTTTCTTTCAGAGTGAGGATTCAGGAACCATCTCCCCAACTCTCTCTAGTGTTTAGAATTATTGATCTGAAAAGCAGAGATTCTCTATGGGCATAGCTCTGCTTCCTAGAGAAGTCCCTGGGCAAATGCATTCAACTCAGTGGGTCCCACAGTCAAGTAGGAATGGAGCCACTGAAAAGAAGGAGATTTTTGATTGAAATTGATCTACAACTTTCTGACGCTATAGGCGTCATAGAAGAATTCTGCAATCTGTATAATCAACAGCACTCCTGCCTTCTGGTTGATTAGAGTTTATTTAACTAGGTTTTGTTCATTTATTTATTGGAAACTTTTTTATTTATTTTTATTTTTTATTTATTTAGGTTACAAGTGAACGAGAGAGACTCCATTCCTGCACCTATGGAGCTTATGCGCATCTAGTTGGGAAATCAGATAAGGGAGCAGCAATTAGAAAACAGCATGGCATAAAAAGAAATGGAATTGAGTTATTTGTAGTGAGGTTGGTGGACCTAGAGTCTGTCATACAGAGTGAAGTAAGTCAGAAAGAGAAAAACAAATACCATATGCTAACACATATTTATGGCATCTAAAAAAAAAAAGGTTCTGAAGAACCTTGGGGCAGGACGGGAATAAACACTCAGATGTATAGAATGGACTTGAGGACAGTGGGAGGGGGAAGGGTAAGCTGGGACGAAGTGAGAGAGTGGCATGGACATATATACACTACCAAATGCAAAATAGATAGCTAGTGAGATGCAGCCGCATAGCACAGGGAGATCAGCTCGGTGCTCTGTGACCACCTAGAGGGGTGGGATAGGGAGGGTGGGAGGGAGATGCAAGGGAGAGGGGATATGGGGATATATGTATACATATAGCTGATTTACTTTGTTATACAGCAGAAACTAACACAATGATGTAAAGCAATTATACTCCAATAAAGATGTTAAGAAAAAAAAGAAAATGCAGCATGGCAACTGCAGTGATCAGTATTGCTGAGAGGCCAAATAAGGTGAGTATGAGTATTTATAAATGTTCATTAGACTTAGACACAGCATATTTCATTGCTTTGCCAAGGGCAGATATAATTTCTGTATCATGCGCAGCAACTTTCTTGCCATTCTAGTGCTATGTTTTAAGTCCTGTGGTAGGCATTTTGGATATATTACCTTATGATCTTCACAATATCCCTCAGATCTGAAACTGCTGTGTTAATCTGACACAAGGAAGTCAAACTTATAAAACTTGTTTTGAACCACAGAGACTTACAGTTGGAAGTAGGTTTACTTTTTTCCTTTATACCACACTGCCTCATAGGAGTTGTAGCCTAAACCCTGGGGATGTTGTCTCAAGTCCTAACTGTTTCAAGGCGGGTCCTGATCTCTTTTTAGTCGAGTTTGCACCAGCCCCTGGTTCCCAATTTATAACCCAGTTTGGACTTCAGCGTTATTGTTCTGTGTCCAAGTTTTGTCTCAGATATCTGCCTAGAGTAGTAGACAGCACAACCATTGACATTTTGGGCCAGGTGGACATTTGTGGTGATGGCTGTCCAACACATTGTAGGAGGTTTAGCGGCACTCCTGGCCTCTACCCACTAGATGCCAGTTGTACCCACCCACCCCCAACAGTGACAATATAAAATGTCTCCACACATTGCCAAATGTCCCTGGGGAGCAAAATCACTCCCAGTTGAGAACCACTAGCCTAGAGCCAGAATCCATTTAGGACCGATGCTCTGCCTTACCCCTATAAGCCTTTGTCTCTTCCTCTTCTATACCATGAAGAACCTGGGATCCAGTCCCTGACCACTGGGCATGCTGTTATGGTGCCCCTATCTAATCACCACTGTCCCCCGACTTCGATTCTAGTAGCCTTCTCCTCAATATACCACCACTGGGCTCCACCTGCCTACAGGGAAAAGTATGTTACACCACTTGAAACAGCCCACCTGGTAGCCTTTTTCCACATCTGTGTCAACTCCAGTTGCTGAACTGCATTTCTTCTTCATTCCTGCAGCCAAGTGGCTACCTCTCTAAAGTCTACTTTAAGGTCTAAATACCTGCTTTCTGTCTCTTCTGTTATAGTTAACCAGGAAGTTTCTGTCCGTATTCCAAGATAGGAGCCTAATAATGACACAAAAGCATGTTTAAGGGGGAGGGTATAGCAGCCTTCTAGACAATTTCCAAAGCATCTCTACTTTCCTTTAAAGAAATCCTATTATAGCTTAAGCGTCCATCAATTAGTTTAAACCCCCTTTCAAACTTTATTTGCTGTATTATCCCTGGGGCAATGTATCCAATTAAGTGGTGCCTCATTTAATATTTAATATGCATTAAAGTGGCTTTTTCAAATTCTAGAGTTGTGTACTAGTTTTAGAATCAGGGGCTTCAGTAAGTAAGGTGATATCCTTAGTCATACTCAAACCTGCACCTCCAATATTTAATTATCACCTTCACAGGTTTTATGTTCCCACACTTGGGTTTTTCTTTTTATATAGTTAGTCAGAAGCACTTTTCTCTTCTTGATTATTTCCGTTGCTGTGAGCTTAATACTCTCTTACGCCTGTTCTAGGCTTGGCAAACAATATTGTGTGCAATGTTCCAAATGCAGATCTGCCATCATTTTGCTTTGTTTTGTTTTTATAAGAGTAAAATAATATTTTCTGTTATAAACACTCTTTCTGTTGATTCTGATTTTGAATACTGGGCTATTTCAGACAATTCCATTAAAAAACAGAACAAGACAGTTTATTCAATGAAATATCAATATTTAGTCACTCTAGTTGATGACATTTTATGTCAAATTCCCTCTTCAACATAAGATGATTTTTATATGTATAACTGATTCACTTTGCTGTACACCTAAAACTAACACAACACTGTGAATCAACTATATTCCAATAAAAATTATAAAAACAGAAGATGTATTTTGCTAATTTATATAATGAACCAACTATATATGTCCTATATCTATATGTACATATTTCTAATATGAACGTTGATCATCCAGCTATGGCCTATAAGATTACATCTCCATTATTAAGCCTGGTCTCTTTTGAAAAGGTGTCATTCTGGGTGTCAGCCATCCAAGAAACCTAAGGTATAATTTATTTAGGGGGGTGAGGGGATATTACTCTCTAGATTCATCTAGATATGATGAATCTAAGAATGCTGAGGAGAATCCCTGGATAGGAATTAAGTATAAATAACACTAGTTATAACTAAATGATTCTTTATGTGAGGCAAATAAGAAATTTATAGTTTCGTGTAATCATCACGGTAACCATATAATGCAAGTGGACACAATGTTATTATCCCTATTTTGTAGCTGAAGCAATTGAAGCAGAGAGTTTTCAGTAATATGTCCAAAGTCACTCAGGTAGTAAGCGGAGAACTGAGATATAAACCCAGGTCTTCTTACATTCAAAATCCCCAGTCTAAGCCAATATATTCCTAAAAGTTTCTACAAAGGTGGCAGGCTGGGAGCGAGGCAAAAATATTGCTAGAGCATTTCTCTAAAGCACTGTCCAAAAGAAATATACTACAAATCATATGTGTAATTTGAAATTTTCTAGTAGCCACTTTACAGTAAAAGAAACAGATGAAAATAATTTTAATAGGGTATTTTATTTAACTTACCTAATGTGTCCGGATATTATCATTTTAATATGTAATCAATATAAAAATTATTAATTTTACATTCTTTTTTTGTGTTAAGTCTTTGAAATCCAGTGTGCATTTTATACCTTCAGCACATCTCAATTTGGACTGTGTTTAATTTAAGTACTTAATTGACACTTGTGGCTAACAGCTACTGTATTACACAGCACAGCTCAAGAAACCTCAAAACTGGATTTAGGTAACTTATATTTTAAAGACTGCCTTGTATTGTGCCATTTTATCTCACTTTTAAGATTCTTCTAGCCTCGAGTAATTGCATGTTAGAGTGATCCAGCGTGGCCTCAATCATGTTGTGAGGAATTAAAAGATTGATGGGAATCAATAACCACCCCCTACCACTTCTACTAATGGCCATCATAATGGTGGCAGGTGAAATTAGTTAGGAAATCCCAGGGGAAAGGTGAAATCAAGGGACAAAAGTCAGGATTTTCGATCTAGCTGCTCCTGCTTCATCCCAAATCCTGGAATCTTCTTTTCTGAGGAGGTTAGTGATTGCCTTAAATTTGTTACAGCAGTTTGGAATTTGGGCACTAGTGATTTTCAGTGTATTAGTCTTTGACCTTTCCTTTCTTGCCTAATGTCCTTTTATTTGGTGAATTTACAAACAGGTTGCTTCCTGGAAAGTGTAGACACAGCCTTCTTCTTTTTCCTAAGAAGATTAATCCAGTGAGTGATCTGGGAGAGGGCGATTAAATCTTTCCCCCCAGTAATCTCCAGCAGCTCCCCTCACCAAACTGATGCCAGAAACGCAGCAGCTTAGGTAGCAACAAACTCCCAACCCCATGGCCGTGCAGCAGTCGCTTCTATTTAGAGCAGCGGTCCCCAACCTTTTTGGCACCAGGGACCGGTTTCGTGGAAGACAATTTTTCCACGGATCGGGGGTGGGGGTGGGCGAAGAGTGATGGTTCAGGTGGTAATGTGAGCAATGGGGAGCGGCAGATGAAGCTTCGCTCACCGCCTGCCGCTTACCTCCTGCTGTGACGCCCTGTTCCTAACAGGCCACAGACCAATACCGGTTCACGGCCCGGGGGTTGGAGACCCCTGATTTAGAGTTTCTAGCATCACTGTAGTTTAATCCTAGAAGCAAAATGAAGAGGTTAATAACAGACAACTGAGCAAGAAAACCAGGCTTCCATAGCAGCTAAAAAGACTTAAGACCAAGAACTGGTTCACAAAGTGGGCAACGGAGTGTGTTACCAAAGCACAAAGAAACTGGATATTTACAATGAGGAGCTGAGGCGAGGAATACTTTTACCAGTAAGATATTTCAGGATAGTTGTGCTGTAATCATGAGTTTTGGGAAAATAAGTAGAGCATGATCATTGTAAATTATGTAATTCAGAAAAATGTTTTAAATCGTGTACTTGCTAACATTCCATTACAAATGGAATTGTGTGGAAAATTTTAGATCTGAACTACCACTTGAACTAAGACAATCTGCAGGAATCTAATATATGTGGAAATGTGTACAGCAGAATACCCTCAGCGTTCAGTCTCACCCCTGGATGAAACTTTTTAAGGTTTTCCCTTTTCTTTATTCGGCCTTGTTCACCTACATTTGTAACTCAAAGGTGGATGTGAGTTTCACAGAGATAAACAGAGTGTGGAAACTAGGTTTATGTTTGATAGCCCCTAAGGTAATTGAGGCTGGTATGTTTTGGAGACCAATGGAAAATCACAGCAAAGAGAGCTGAGAGGACATAATAAGATAAAACACGTCTGATTCAATGATTAGGCACACATTTGATTTTGTGCTTTGTACCAAGCAAGCTGACATCTAGAATACAGAGTCCCATCTATTTCTTGAACAGACCTAAGAATGGAAAGGAGTTGGCTATAAAGTGACTTATTCTCTTTACTCCGCCTGCAGACTTATCTTCTAAGAGCAAAGCAGATGTTAATCTGGGGAGCATTTCACCTTAATTTCTAAGCATGTGAAGTGTCCTGTTCTGACACATTTCCCTAATTTGTCACAATCAGTATCACGGAGACTAGGTCCTGAACAAAACAACAGTGACAACCAAAAGGCCAATGGGAACTGCAAGTGGAGATCAGAGACGTGTGTCCCTTTTCAGATTGAACAGCACCGCTCTCCCTGCTTCCTCCCTCCTCCCCGTGAAAAGACTGGGAAACCCAAGGAAATAGAAATAGGCCAATAATTTTAATCTAGCCCAGTTCCTGATTACTGAATTTTTAAAATAATTGTTTTGGAAATTTAAGCATAACTGGCTTGGAACTAGAAGACTTTATAGAAAAAAAAAATAAGGTAAACTCTGAATGGTGATCCTTCCCTCTCTTTACTGCCTTTATTTCTTCCAATAAAGAAGACTAGAATGGGAGATTTTTACAAACACTCATGATAATGTTTCTAAGAAAATCTTAAGTTAACCTACCCCTGTTTTTTTTAAACTACCATGAAAACTTACTTTAAAAATTGTATATAACAACATCAGGCCAGTTTCTTAATTCTTTGCTCAACGGCTTTTTTCCTAAACTATTAGACATCTCATGGAGAAAATATTTTGCATCTATTGAAGAAGGAACTTGATTTTACGTGGATAATTCATCCCTTGCCCTGGGCTGACAGCAAAAGGGCCAAGCTCTCCATATGTTGAACAACATTCCACAATGGCATAAGCACACAGACAGGTTTGTGGCTGTTGCTACTTGTTTCTGTGTCAGAGAGGGGCATTTTCACTTCTCAAAACTTTCCTGGATTTTTTCTTTCCTTTTCTTTATAGATTTTGCTGATCTATGGCAACATACCAACATAAATTTCGTGAGACTTAAGTACTCCTTATAAAGACATGAAATCTTTTTCCATCGACTGTGCATGGTCCTTTTTTTAAAAAGGAAAAAAAAAAAAAAAAAAAGGAGTTCCTTAAAATGGTCCTGCATCTGAGGTCCGTGAGATCCTTATTTTAATCAGTCAACCTGGGTTCAGCACATACCACAAACACATCATTAAATAAGCCTCTATTTGTAAAAGGTATAAATTCTCCCATATAGGATGTGAATTGCCAGATGTTCCAAACCCTAGTATACTCCAAAATCTGTTTCATTAATCTGCTTCCTAGACTGAAGTTCTCCTTATTAAATCCTTTATTTCACTTAGACTAAAAAGGTAGGAACATCGTCTACATGAGGGCACTGTTTAAAGCCTGTATATAAGATACATAGAATAGGTAAAATGTTGATCAAATCATGTCAATTTGTCTTTGATCTAACAGTAAGTGTCGTAAGGTATGGAGCCTATACTTACTTACATGCCAAACTAATCATCTTCTTCACCACACACTGTAAGGTAAAGCTAGTTTTCTAAACAGAGGCTAACGGCAGAAAGATCTCCAAACCCAGCTCTCTACTGCATATTTGATCTTGCTGAAATCAAAGCATCAGAGGACTGGGAAATGATTGGTCCACCTTCAAACCAATCCACCTTTCAAGTTTTTTGAGGAGTTGTCCCGTTTGTGTGTAAAGTCTCTCAGAGGAAGACTTCTGACAGCAACTCATGTATACTAAATCTTCCTGGTGGGAAAATCTTTCCTATTCCCTAATTGAGTTTAGAACCACTGTAAAAAAAAAAAAAAAAAAAAACCAAAAAGAATTATAGAGAAGTTAAGACCCATGGGAAAAAATTCCCCACAAGAAAGCCCAAGTGCAATATTTCTTTGATGGCAAAATTATAACCCAGAATTTCTTCAAACTGAGCAATGAAAAGCTCACAAATTTTCAGATTAGCGTATGAGTGAATAGAATCTGTAACAGTGACATCTGGTGGCTTTTATTATAATGCTGTGACATCTTTTGTACAATGCCACACCATAGTTAAATAGAATTATGACATGCCTTGTGCTCTGTGCATGACAAAATAAATACATGCATATTAGCTTTTTACCAAAGTATTCCTTCTAAACTGGGTACAACAAAATGTCACTTTTTTTTTTTTTACGTTCACAAGTTTGAAACTTTCAGATAAGAGTATACAAATTTGTATTTTAACTTTAAACTTTTTGTCACCCTGCGATGAACTTGCTGGCTTTAAATGTACGTGTATTTAACTTTCATTCACTTTCCTCGTGTTGAAGAAGAGTAGGCTCAGATTGGCATACTCTTTCAGAGCTGCTTCCAACACCAGTCCGTCCCTCACAGTAGCTAAAACCCCAGGCTGTCTGGAAGAAATTTAATTCATTGCCCTCTTGATCTCCACCAGGGCTAAATAGAGAGGGAAGGGTGAACAGGTGACTCCCAGTCTTTCTCGGGGTGTTGAATGTTTATGATGACCTTGGTTTGTCCATGTGCACCTCTCCCCTCACCCCATCCTGAGGTCTAGCAACTCATACTCTGAAAAACTTTCCAAACACAATGAGAAAACTATGAGAACATATATATAAGCAACAAAGATTCTTTTAAAAATTATGTTTTAGCTCCACAGAGTTTGTTTGTTTGTTTATTTATTTATTTATTTTTGGCTGCGTTGGGTCTTCTTTGCTGCGCGCGGGCTTTCTCTAGTTGCGGCGAGCGGGGGCTGCTCTTTGTTGCAGTGCGCGGGCTTCTGTAGTTGTGGAGCGCGGGCTCAGTAGCTCTGCGGCACGTGGGATCTTGCCGGACCAGGGCTTGAACCCGTGTCCCCTGCATTGGCAGGCGGATTCTCAACCACCGCGCCACCAGGGAAGTCCCTCCGTAGAGTTTTATAACACTGTCCTTCAACTTGCAGTTTTTTCACTGATTGGAAAGCAGTCAGGAGACTGATCTCTTTGGCAATTCTCATCTCTTACACTTCTTTGACAGTTGCTCTCTTTGTAAATGTTGGCTGATACAGAGCTCCTATGACAACGTTCTGTCATTAAGGTGACTTTTAACCTTGTGTTTTCTATAGATTTTGTACACAGATAATTTACATTAGATCATTTGGTTTAATTTGCACTGTTGAGTCTAGAAAAGAAATGTGGCTCAGATAGCAACAACTGCGCTTGTGTGTGCAAGTTGATGATCTAAGCATCAGACCAAACGTGATATTTCTGATTATAATGTGTTATATTTAACTATATTCAAATAAGCACATTCATTGGCTTGCTTCAAGAACCTGCAATTTCTGCTTGCTTGCTTTCTGTCTGTCAGGGCATGTTATTTGTGGTAGACAACAGCACTCATCAAGAGAAACACTTTATTTGAGAGTTACAGAAACAAACTGTATTCCAGCAACTGAACTGCATTAACAGCAATGCACTCTTTCCACAACACTACATTGTGAATATATTCAGGCAAAGAAAATACTAGATACAAATGCCATTTTGTAAATAGGCCATGCCGTGGAGTTCAAATTCAAAGAATAAATCTACTAATAAGTCAGTTTTATTATCACTTAATCCTTCATGAGGATAAAGAATTCTTTTTCCAGGTATATCTAATCTGTGAAATAGTGTATCAGGATTAGTATCCGTCTGCCCTTTATGACTATTTACATCAGTCCCCATAAAAAGCAGAAGACTCCTTGATGAAATTTTCCAGCCTGAAGAACCATCTAAACACTGAAAACTCCCAAATTGATAATTCCATGTTTCTACTAACCTCCAGATTGTTCTCTAACTGGATGTCTAGTAGACATCTCAAATTTAACATGTCCAGAGAATTCCTGATCTGTCCACCAAAGCATCTTCTCCTACAGGATCCACCATCTGAAAAAGTGGCATCTTCATTCTTCTAGTAGCTCACTCTAGAAAATCTTGAGTCATCTCTGACTTCTCTCATACACATATCCAATTCAATCCATCAGTAAATCTATTGGTTTTCCACCATCAAACTAGATCCTGATTTAATCACCCTTTACCACTCCATCATTATTATCTTTGTCCAAACCACTATTTTCATTTGCCTGATTATTCCACTCTTTAACCTACTGTGTAATCTCATTCCAGCCACCAGAAGACTCCTTTTAGATCCAATATCATGTCATTGTTTTGCTCAAACCTTCCAACAGATTAATTTCTCACATAGAGTAAATTCTTACAATTTCTTAGAAGGCTCTAGATAGTCTGGTTCCTTCTCTCCTTCCTTTATCTGCCACTATGCTCTTCTTTGGTTAGGTTCCAACATCCTGGCCTTCTTGCTTCTACCAGACTGTATCACTGCTATTGCTTTGGGGCCTCTACTCTTTCTATTCCCTCTGCCTGAAACATCCTTTGGCCAGAAAACTTTTTTGCTGCCTCTCTCATTTCCTTCAGGTTTTTGTTGAAATCTCATCATCTCAGTGAGGCTTTCCCTGCCCATCCCTATATGTGATTATCTCCCTCCATCTATCCTTGGGCTTGCTATCTTCCTTCTCTGAATTTTCCTCCATTTACCCCCAACTGACATTATATATATAATGTATTTGTTCATGTCCATTCATTTCTCATAATATAAAGCCTGTGAGGAGACTGACAACTGTTTTGTTCACTGCTGTATTCCCAGCACACAGAACAGTGCCCAGAACACAATAAAAACTTAATAAATGATTGTCTGTAGCTGCATCACACATACACAATTCCTCAAAGGAAAGAACTTTCTCTCTGATTAACTGGGTATGTAGCATCATGTTTCTGATTAATCTGCTCTAAAACAAACCTGTTGTTGGGTGTCATAGAGCTTGAATACTAAATTCACCACACTAAGTTTCTTCAGTAATTGAAGACTAGCCTGGGGGTCTATGAATTGATAACCATTCCATTCTGCCTTTATTTCTATTGACTCCTAGAAATACATGAAATGCATTTTCTACCTTATTCTTGAGAGTGAACAAAGATTGATTTGCAAATTGGATATTTCTTTTATTTCAAATGAAATACCGCCTCTCAGGGTAGAGGTAAATCACTCATCCTGGTTATCTATCATTGTATAACAAATCACTCCAAAACATTAATTTGCTCATGAATCTCAACTGGGGAAAGGCTTGACAGAAATAGCTTGTCTCTGTTGCACTCAGCATCATCTAGAGTGGCTCAAAGGTGGGGCTGGAGTCACCTGAAGGCTCGCAGTTGACTCTGAGACCTTAGCTGAAGCTCTCGGCTGGAACACCTTGACCTGCCTCCACAGATGGTTTGGGTTTCCTCACCATACGGTGGCTGGGTTCCAAGGGTGAGCATTCCTAAGACAGAAGCTCAGGTAGAAACTGAGTCACCTTTTGTGAACCAGTCTTAGAAATCATGCAGTTTCGCTTTTGCAGCATTCTGTTTGTCAAGGCCATCACAAAGGCCTGTCTGATTTCAAAGCAAGGAGAAGGAGATTCTACCTCCCGATGGGGTGGTGGCAGGATTCTGAAAGAGCAGAGTGTACTAGATATATCGTTATGGTCATTTTTGGAAAATGCCAACTGTCACAGCTACTACAAGGTATTTGAGGTGATTTCAGCTCTACATTGATTAGAGTGAGATTCTTTTGATAGAGCTCATGGTGAAGATGTAGGATTTCCATGTTGTCTTTCAAATGATCTGTAGTATAAAGTGGGTAGTATCCATAAGGAGGGTAATGTGGTAGTTTTAAAATATGTCCACAAATCTTTTACAATCTTCCTATTAAGAAGTGGCCACTCTATCCCCTCCCCTTGAATCTTGTCTGGCCTTAAGAGACTCAATCATAACCAATACAATGCAGCAGAAGCGCTGTTTTGTGAATTCCAAGGCAGCTTTTAGCTTTGTCACTGGAACACTTGTGTTGGGAACTGTGAGCTGCCATGTAAGAAAGCCAACTATGCTTAGGCCTCCGGGCCGTGAGGAAGCCAAGGCCATGCTCAAGAGACCTTGCATCGGTGTTCTGGTTGCCAGTGCAACCGAGATCCCAGTTGACAGCCAGCATCAAGTACCAGCCCCAAGAGTGAGCCACCTTGGATGTCCAGCACAGGTGAACCTTGATAGCTTCAGTCCCACCTACCTCTGATGCTACCTCATGGGAGACCCCAGTGAGGACTGACCAGCCAAACCCTTCCAGAATTTTGGACCCACGAAATCATAAGCAAAATAAAATGGCTGTTTTGAGCCACTAAGTTTGGCAAATTTTTTATTTAGCAAAAATAACCAAACAGGTAGGGAGAATGGCCAAGGGAGTCTAATTTTTGTTCAAGAGCTAAAATGATAATCTTCAGTTCTCCATTTGCTATAAAAACATAGGTTGGTTTCAGTGATTAAACCCTTAATTATTCGTTTGCAGTAAAGTAATGTTTTAAAAAGTGAAAAAACTCTTCAAATTATTGAATCATCAATCCTAATCCTTTACAATAATTGTGAACATTGTGGACTGTGCACAAATAAACATGAGGACACTTTTATGTAGGTTTCAGCAAAGTCACTGTATAGTTGGAGAATATCATCAAAGTGTATTGAGTTCATAATGGTAAAGTTAATTGCTTAATATTTTAACTGATTTGTTGTAATAAATCATACAACTTTTTGGTTACTAACACAACTATAAATGTACACCTTGTTATACTGTCTTAATATAATGTTAATATTGAAAGTCAACCTTCTGTTAGATCTTTGAAAAGGCTAGAATGCTAGTAAATGTTAATGAGCTTTTAAAAATAACACCCTTTCAGACACAAAGAAGCAACAGTGAAATGCATCTATAAGTTAGAGAAATATTGGAGTGGCAGACTGAAAATAGTGAAACATAATTTAAGAAGAAGATCAAAATAAAAATTAGTTCAAAAAGTTGACCTGGTTCCTTCTGTTGATGAAAAATTACCAAAAAAATTATAGTAGCAACATATATATTTACTTTTTCATTGTTTCTCATTCAAGGCTGGAGTATTATTAGCTCTACAAATTTTTTTTCCACGTACAAACCAAGCATTATTTACTTAACTTCTTTCTTGATAGAACAGAAGCAAAGGGTGTGACCAGAGAATACTGCAATTAAGAGAACTGGCTTCCTCCTGGTGTGCTTGTAAATACTCCTGCATTCTAAGAATTGCAGTTTGGGTGTGTCCAGAGCAAATCTGAATTGTTACAGTTATTAAAAATAAAATCAAGTATATAGGGATCCAACTTCCTACAAATAAGTGGGCAACTATATATTTCAGTAAATATGATAGAACCACCATAAGACTCAAGGAAGGTAAATGCTCAAATTTTGTCTTAAAAAATTTTTTTTTTTACTATTTTTGACTTTCCACATATGATTACATTTGAGCCTCCGATCCCTTTCAAAAAACTTTTTGTTTTTGACCTTCAGACATAAAATACAGCTTTTGTGAGAACTTTGAGATCATTTTGTTACTTTTGGGACAGAGTTAAAATGGTTTACAATTTCAAACAGCTCCGAATCGTGATCGTGTGCGTCTGTGTGTGTGCCTGCACGTGTACGCCTGCCTATGTGGGTAAATAAGAAGCATGCCAGACAGCATCAAACATTCACTGCAGAGAGGTCCTGAATCTGGTTTGGCAAATCAGGATGCCACTGCGTATGAGGGTATTACTTACACGAGCGGCAGCTGTTCTTGTGACTCTAACGTTAAACACATTGGCTAAGTAGATTCTGAAGCCAGTGATAAACAAGTGTCTCAAAGATACATCCATACAACAGCACATGTTTAGCCTTTGATGCACTACAATGGGTGTCCCACATCAGCTTTCTTCTTCTTCAGGTTTCCTGCAGCCCCCCTGACTGTCCCTGTCACCCAGTGCCAGATGGGAAGTGAGAGCTCAGCTGATCTACCTCTTTGTGGTGGAAACCCCCAGAGCTTCAGCTCCAGGCTACAGGTTACCGAAGCCGTCATGAAAAATTCAGAGCTGATATTAACAAGTCTGCTGAAAGTAAAGCGCGTGTCACATTATCTACCCTGCCTTTCAGTTAATACTAAAGCTACTGTCGCCAAAGAAGAAATGCAGACTTGCTGTGCTTGTGTTCAGAGCTATTTGCGTTGTACTATGTAGATTCAGAAATAAGAAGAAAGATGTTGTAAAAAGTAGAAGACAGAAAGATCAGACAGCTGAATTACTGAGAATCCTTGAGAATGAGGATAGAAGAGAGAATTGAAAGTGGCCTCAATACTTGGAGTGAAATATGGAAATATGTTACTGAAGTTCCCCTCCTGCAGCTTCGGTAAATAATTAAACATGTTTATAATTGTTATATATGCACATTGCTGCTATTTATCCAGTAATAAATCTATTTCCTAAAGGTTCTTTTAATTAAAAAAGACAATCCTGTAGACAAAATTTTGAGATTAAAAAAATTACTAATTAATTTATTGAATACTTACTGTGTTCTAAGAACCATTCTAAACACTTTTCCTGTATTACCTCATTTACTTCTCACAACAAGCCAATAAGGTAGGAACTATTTATTGTTAAGCACCATTTTACTCATTAGGAAACTGATGCACTAGAAGGTTCAGTGACTTTCCTCTGGTCATGTAGTAAGTGGCAGGTTCAAACACAGGCAGTCTCTCTCCAGACCCAGTATACTTAACCACTACTCTATCACTACCTCACTCCCTTTCCAAATCAAGAGGTTTCATGCCTTAAAAACAATGACAACATTTTACAGATGCAGTTGAAATCCTCTTTGACAACCAACCTCAGTCCTATTACCATTGAATCTTTCCAGAGGCAACTATGATCATGAGCTTGGTGTGTATTTTAAAATACAATTTTATATTAAAAAAAAAAAAAATATATATATATATATACATAGTATGATATCACCCTGTAAATATATTTCTACAGCTTTCTTTTTTTCTCAACATTTGTTTTTTGAGATCTAACCGTAGTAAATGTAAAACTTAAAAGGAAAGCCTAGAGGAATGTGAGTTTGTGAGAATTTAACAGGGGAGGAAAAAAAAAAAACAGCGCTAACCCAGCCATAGGCTACAGTACATATATTACCTCATGAGCTGAATGGGATTTAATGGGAGCACATAGGAGGTCTTAGCATGAATGCAATGATTTAGTAGCTAGGCATCCACGTCAACCAACTGTCAAGCTCCTTTGATTCCCACTCCCCTTTCTAATGAAACGAAGGAGCCAGACCTCATCAGAATCATTCAAGAAAATACATGGAATCTCTTTGCAATTAAGAGATTTTTCTTTATTTTCAAAACATACCCATTTATGTTACTGTCAGGTCATAAAGTCATCCCTGAAATTTCATCAGGGTTAAAAATGTTTCTCAACTCGAATGCTATCAAATATACAATTTAAAGAAATAATACCAGGTTATTGTGAAACTTTCGTAGTGAAGTTTCCAAAGAGCTGAGAATATAGGTAAGTTTTCACATGCTTCCAACAGATAGAAGCTAACATATCAAGGAAGAAAAATATTAGGTGAATTGACTATACATGATTTGACCACAACCCTACCTTCTTGGTAATCTATGCAATAGCTGTTTAGTTGTAAAAGACCAGAACATTATCTGGGACTCATCATTCTTAGTCTAACCCTTACGCTGCTCTAAAACACAGTCTTCAAAGATAGGGAGGAGAAGAGGGGATGGAAAGATAAGCAGAGTGATTAAAATATCAATAGATAATATTCTCTAGCACATGTGAGTTTTATTACTGTAAACAAGTGGTGTAACACAGGTGAAGTATGTAATGAAATATTTTACCAGAAAACCATTTTAAGATTTAGTTTGTGCTATTTACTGCCATTTTCTCAAAATACACAATTTGAAGGCCAGGAATAGGATTTACTTGTATCAACACTAGAGTTTCACATGCATTTACCTATTGTCCAACTTCAATCTCAAAATCAAAATAGTTGTAATATGTTTGATTTTAAGAGAATAATCGAAATAGAGAGTAATGTAGAATTTCAGGTTAATTGCAAAAGCCAAGTGGATTGTTTGGTAGTCATAAATCTGGCCCTAGTTTTCCAAGAATCAAATAAGCAACGGTGCCAAAATTATAATTGAATGAAAAAGGAAATTCTAATATTCTTTTACTGTCATTGTGTAGGTTTTTACCCTCATTTATTTGTCAATGTTTTACTTCATGACAGTGTTCCAGTGTGTGATGATTATTCAAGTGCAATCTCACACTCTAATAAGTAAATGGAAAAGGATAACTTTCTTCTTTTTTCCTTCATCTATGAACAGTTTTCAGTTACCCTAATACTGAGCAAAGTTGGCAAGATAGTCATTTTAAATATCATTTGTACTAGAAATGCCATTACCAACTCCTTTCACTGCCTTGAGTTTATATTACTGGGGATAAAGTACAAGTTTGGCAACAAAAGAAATAAATGAAAATAAAGTAAGGATATTCTAGTTGATGCTTTTTTTTTTTTTTTTTTTTTGCAGTACGCGGGCCTCTCCCGTTGCAGATCACAGGCTCCGGACGCGCAGGCTCAGCGGCCATGGCTCACGGGCCCAGCTGCTCCGCGGCATGTGGGATCTTCCCGGACCCGGGCACAAACCCGTGTCCCCTGCATCGGCAGGCAGACCCCCAACCACTGCGCCACCAGGGAAGCCCTAGTTGATGCTTTTATCCTCTTAAAAAATCCCCAAACATCAGTGTGACTAGTGGAACAATACTTTTCACGATCAAACAGAAGTTTCCAACCATGCAGGGATGGGTGAGAGGCTAGAAAGAGACTGAAAGAGTAGAAGAAATCATAAGAACAAAGGACTTTCATTGTAAAGGTCTTTCATTGTATGAGAGCAGGTAGTGAGTATAAAGAGGTAAAAAGTTGGGTATTTGGAGTCTCAAATTTTTTTTTTTTACATCTTTATTGGAGTATAATTGCTTTACAATGGGTGTTAGTTTCTGCTTTATAACAAAGTGAATCAGTTATACATATACATATGTTCCCATATCTCTTCCCTCTTGCGTCTCCCTCCCTCCCACCCTCCCTATCCCACCCTTCTAGGAGGTCACAAAGCACCGAGCTGATCTCCCTGTGCTATGCGGCTGCTTCCCACTAGCTATCTACCTTACGTTTGGTAGTGTATATATGTCCATGCCTCTCTCTCGCTTTGTCACAGCTTACCCTTCCCCCTCCCCATATCCTCAAGTCCATTCTCTAATAGGTCTGTGTCTTTATTCCTGTCTTACCCCTAGGTACTTCATGACATTTTTTCCCCTTAAATTCCATATATATGTGTCAGCATACGGTATTTGTCTTTCTCTTTCTGACTTACTTCACTCTGTATGACAGACTCTAGGTCTATCCACCTCATTACAAATAGCTCAATTTCGTTTCTTTTTATGGCTGAGTAATATTCCACTGTATATATGTGCCACATCTTCTTTATCCATTCATCTGATGATGGACAATTAGGTTGTTTCCATCTCCAGGCTATTGTAAATAGAGCTGCAATGAAGATTATGGTACATGACTCTTTTTGAATTATAGTTTTCTCAGGGTATATGCCCAGTAGTGGGATTGCTAGGTCATATGGTAGTTCTATTTGTAGTTTTTAAGGAACCTCCATACTGTTCTCCACAGTGGCTGTATCAACTTACATTCCCACCAGCAGTGCAAGTGGGTTCCCTTTTCTCCACACCCTCACCAGCATTTATTGTTTCTAGATTTTTTGATGATGGCCATTCTGACTGGTGTGAGATGATATCTCATTGTAGTTTTGATTTGCATTTCTCTAATGATTACTGATGTTGAGCATTCTTTCATGTGTTTGTTGGCAGTCTGTATATCTTCTTTGGAGAAATGTCTGTTTAGGTCTTCTGCCCATTTTTGGATTGGGTTGTTTGGTTTTTTGTTATTGAGCTGCATGAGCTGCTTATAAATTTTGGATATTAATCCTTTGTCAGTTGCTTCATTTGCAAATATTTTCTCCCATTCTGAGGGTTGCCTTTTGGTCTTGTTTATGGTTTCCTTTGCTGTGCAAAAGCTTTGAAGTTTCATTAGGTCCCACTGGTTTATTTTTGTTTTTATTTCCATTTCTCTAGGAGGTGGGTCAAAAAGGATCTTGCTGTGATTTATGTCATAGAGTGTTCTGCCTATGTTTTCCTCTAAGAGTTAGATAGTTTCTGGCCTTACATTTAGGTCTTTAATCCATTTTGAGCTTATTTTTGTGTATGGTGTTAGGGAGTGACCTAATCTCATACATTTACATGTACCTGTCCAGTTTTCCCAGCACCACTTATTGAAGAGGCTGTCATTTCTCCACTGTATATTCCTGCCTCCTTTATCAAAGATAAGGTGACCATATGTGCGTGGGTTTATCTCTGGGCTTTCTATCCTGTTCCATTGATCTATCTTTCTGTTTTTGTGCCAGTACCATACTGTCTTGATTACTGTAGCTTTGTAGTATAGTCTGAAGTCAGGGAGCCTGATTCCTCCAGCTCCGTTTTTCATTCTTAAGATTGTTTTGGCTATTCGGGGTCTTTTGTGTTTCCATACAAATTGTGAAAGTTTTTTTTCTAGTTCTGTGAAAAATGCCAGTGGTAGTTTGAAAGGGATTGCATTGAATCTGTAGATTGCTTTGGGTAGTAGAGTCATTTTCACAATGTTGATTCTTCCAATCCAAGAACATGGTATATCTCTTCATCTATTTGTATCATCTTTAATTTCTTTCATCAGTGTCTTATAATTTTCTGCATACAGGCCTTCTGTCTCCTTAGGTAGGTTTATTCCTAGATATTTTATTCTTTTTGTTGCAATGGTAAATGGGAGTGTTTTCTTGATTTCACTTTCAGATTTTTCATCATTAGTGTATAGGAATGCAAGAGATTTCTGTGCATTAATTTTGTATCCTGCTACTTTACCAAATTCATTGATTAGCTCTAGTAGTTTTCTGGTAGCATCTTTAGGATTCTCTATATATAGTATCATGTCGTCTGCAAACAGTGACTGCTTTACTTCTTCTTTTCTGATTTGTATTCCTTTTATTTCCTTTTCTTCTCTGATTGCTGTGGCTAAAACTTCCAATACTATGCTGAATAAGAGTGGTGAGAGTGGGCAACCTTGTGTTGTTCCTGATCTTAGTGGAAATGCTTTCAGTTTTTCACCACTGAGGACGATGTTGGCTGTGGGTTTGTCATATATGGCCTTTATTATGTTGAGGAAAGTTCCCTCTATGAGTACTTTCTGCAGGGTTATCATAAATGGGTGTTGAATTTTGTCGAAAGCTTTCTCTGCATCTATTGAGGTGATCATATGGTTTTTCTACTTCAGTTTGTTAATATGGTGTATCACGTTGATGATTTGCGTATATTGAAGAATCCTTGCATTCCTGGAATAAACCCCACTTGATCATGGTGTATGAT